GAACAACTGTATAATTCTCACTTTTGGTTTTTTGATAGAAACCAAATCTCTCTTTAAGAATTATCAAGCAATCAACAACATAAATAGAATTTAATACCGTTAAGATGAACAATATACACGTTACACAATTCGCTTTGTTTACAATCGGTCTATTTTCTCAATAATATTTTCTTTTGCATGCAGAGATAATATTAGATTTAAGAAAATATATCTAAGAACCAATTATTTTAATATGAGATTTGTTATGTTTTGGAAACAAAGAGATCCGCTCCATTAAAAATGAGAACAATTTTATCAATAAAAAATGAGAACAATCTTTTATCAAAGTGATACGACAGAAAATAAATTGTGCATGATTCTTCTTAGATCCAACGACAGAAAATCTATGAATGGTTCTTTCTTAGAGTTAAAAAAAATTACTAGCAAATAAATTTAGAATTTTAATGTTTTTAAGTGTTTTTTAAAAATATTTTTTTTTCACCATTTAAAATTTTTTAAAATTAGTTTTTCTAGTCTAAAAATTTCTAGTTTTTAGGTGGTTTTTCCAAACTAGAAAATATATCCGCGCAAATTTAAAACTTTTATCAATACGAATTTTTGAATATAAATTTAATCATTTAAATTTTAGATGATTTTTTCACTTATGCGTAATATCTTTCCAAAATAGTAAATAATTTCTCACACAATTTACTAAAACTTTTCTCGTTATCTTCTATGATTCACTCGTCGTCTCCCGACATCAACTCACTTTTCACCTTATATTGGCTCACATATAATATACTCGACTACGAATTAGTTCTCAAGATAGATCATATCTATTTCTTCCTTCCTATTTTTGAATACTCTATTCGTTTTATAAGTTGCATGATTTTTTTTTATTAAAATGAACATCAAAAATCTGGAAAAATGTATGTCCTAAGGTTTTGATGCGTGTTTTATTTCACTTGAGACTTTTACCTGAAAGACCACACGTTAACTACAAGTGCACATAAATCAGTAGTAGTATTTGAGGAACGATCCCACAGAGAGTGTAGGTACGGGTTATTGAATTCAAAGAAGAAGATCTAGCTAAGACAAAACTAAACTTGGGGGTTTTGGTTTTGGGTTTCCTAATGACTAATGCAATGAAAGTAAATGAAAGAAATTCAATGAAAGCAATGTAAACGACAGGTGTAAAGTATGAGACTAAGGCGTTGGACGTTCTAGGATTTCTCCGATTATCATGGTTCTCGACTAACTAGGGTTTAGATCTCTTAATTAAGTTTTTATGTTTTTAATCTAGTTCATAACTATGAAAGACGAATAAACGAATTAGCCTATGCTATATGACTAACCGGCAAATCTCCATATACTCCATTACTCAACTGACGCAGGCAACGACGCATCGAAGCATTATGATCAGATTCGCTAAGTACTCTAAGTCCTGTTACTCAACTTATGCAGGCAACAACACGAAAGATTGGTAACACTATGTTCGAGGTTAGGTTGACCCGGTTAGAGCTCCTAACCTCTTAAATCAGCGTTTGGTGATCAATCCAAACACATGCATTAAGTAAAAGATGTCTCAAAAGAATCTAAGTATGAACAAAAATCAGATCTAATAACCTAATAAGATTTGAACCATGAATCCCCTTTGAATCACCCCATAAACCCCAACAAAGGGAACTATTCGCGCATGATGCAAAGAAACGACATAGAGATGTAGAAGAAAAGCATCATAAACGAATCAATAAAACAAAGGGGATTCAAGGGATACTTCTCTAGTTGTCACAGAAGATAACTTGTCTCCCCAAAAGTCTTGAAAGAAAGATTAGAAGAAAGAGTAGAAGAGAAAGCAATGAAGAACAAGAGAGAGATCTTCAAGGGACGACTTCTTCAATGGCTTGAGAACTTTGACGAGGTGGAGCAGGAGGCTGAGAGTCTTTTAGAAGCTGCTGGAGGCTGTCAAAAATAGGGTAGAAGAAGTGTAGGGTTATCATTTTAAGTTTCGGAATTTATAGGCTCCAACTAGGTCAAAGGGAAAAATCGTCTTTTCCCGTCGATTAGGTTAGGTGTAGCTCGAGCTTCTATACCGGTCACTAAGGTGAGTGTAGAGGGCAGCCCGGACACGGTCTAAGTGGCCGGTGGTGCTTGAAGTCTCCGGATCGGTCGCTCACTATCTGGCCGGTCTGGACATGTCTTCACGCTTCTGGGCATAACTTCGGAATGGCTGAATGGTTTTCTTTGATTATACTTCGAGGCAAATCTTGACTCTTCTACCTTTCCAAATCCACCGATATCTCTAGATGTGGTGATCGGAAAGACCTCGAACGGATGCCATACTTCTGAAGTAAAAAACTGTCTTGAAACGGGATTTGCTCGACTTAACTCCTTTTTGCTTGAAAACTCATAATTCTTCCTTGAAACACAAATACTTGAAAACAGCATTGAAGTATCTATTATCTCTTGATTTCTCTATGGAAATCCTAATAAAAAATATAGTTAAAGTAGGCTAAAATACGATGTTATCAACTCCCCGAGACTTAGACTTTGCTTGTCCTTAAGCAAACAAGAAAGTAAATATAGTGCAGAGGTTTGAAAATCTTGGAAACTCTCCTATTATCAGAGACCATGTCCTAAAAGATATCATGTGGACGCATAAAGACAAAAATATTGCGTTAGAACATTCTCTTTATAGACTCAAGACTTTCACAGCCCTTATCCATCTATCTCGAACCTACAAGAGAACTATAAAATCACGTTAGTTTACTCTGTACATTCATTAATAAGTGGTGTGAGTATTTCTCATTAAAAGGTGTCATTTAAGTTGACGGCGCTTGGTATGAAAGGGTTTTTTTGGTGTTTGGTACTGATGTTAAATTGTTTAGGCTTTACCGGTAATGTGGAGAATGCAGGATATGTTGCAAAACCGCAAGAGAGAACAGATTTATTGAAGTCCAAAGTTTCCAACCACTTCTTCTTGTAAACACCTCATCTCCTTGTTTCTTTTCGTCATTTTGATTTTCTTAGACTTAGGTTTTTCTTTAGGGATCTCTGTAAATGATTTTATCTCTCCTCTAAATGGTCCATGTCTTTCCTTGATTTCTCTAAAAAACATCTACCACAATTTCTAAAAAAAACTTTTCATTTCTACCACTTCTCCTTCCACCTTTTCAAATGTACCACATTTCGTTATGTGAAAAGACGAAATTGCCATTTCCTCATCGTTAACTGTGCATATGTAACCCAACCTATTTCAGGGACAACTGGATCTACAATTCGGGGAACCCTGGATCTGATGGTTGTCCATCACCAGATAGTGTCAGATAGTGTGGTTTCACCCGCGGAAGATTTTGACTTACTTTTGGGGGACTTTTTCACTTTGTTACTCTTTATATAATCATATTTTGTCCCCTATTTTATATTCCATATATAATCTTGTATTATGAGAATGAGACTAATGAAATAATCAATATTCTGTAAATTTGGGGACAACTAGATTTGATGGTTGTCCATGCTATATTGTGTGGTTTAATCCGCTAGAGATTTGGACTTACTCTTGGGGACTTTATTCACTCTATTTCATGATTATTGTCCATGGTAAATGTAAACTGGACTTAATGCATATTTTTTGTCCTGACACAAAGTTGTCCCTCTCTCTAACACAAAGTTGTCCTTCTTTTCTGACACAAAACCGCACACCTTTTAGGGGCAAAATCTTCTTTTTCTACCACATTACCACCCAAATATGGTAGATTTGAAATGAATAAGCGAAAGTGGTAGAAATGAAAAGACTTTGGTGGAAAGTGGTAGAGTTGACCAAATTCCCAAAACTTAAATCGAAAAAAATTAAAAAAAAAAAACTTAAATTCGTCGCCCGTCAGGAGCCCGTCGGTCATAAGTTCATCAGGAAAAACGTCGGATATTATAGACCTTTTTGTCTCAGGATTCCATTGGTATCTCGTCGGGAATATCCGTTGGAAAGTTCTCAGTCAACCTTCAGTGTGTTTTTCAATGGACTCCCAATGGTCTTTTCCCAAATTTTTACCATAGATGTATCATATTTTCCCGTCGGGATTCCGTTGACTCTAGAACCGACTGACCGTACCCGTTGCTTTGAGCACTTTACCACGGATTATTGACGGATATGTATGTCGGTTTATAGCTGTGTTTATTGTGTAAACTCGTTTTCCCGCAAGATTAAAAGATATTAAAACTCGTTTTCCCCCAAGATTCACCTGCATGTGTTTATCAATTTACCCTCTCTGTGTATTGCCTCTAAAAACATGGAAAGCCGCGACCACCAAGCTTGCAAGATCCGCAAATTTGTGTGGATTGAAATCTTAAGGTCATATCAGCTTTGTGGCTGGGCAAGTGAGATTAAGCTTGCACAGTTGCACTATGCCCCCAATTTAAAACAGTGAATGGATTCTGCAGAGTGGTTTGAGATGGAAATCCATATAGTCTTATGTGAGTCAAATTAGACCTAAGACTACTCTCTCAAATAAGAGATCGTGTGTAACACTAAGGGTCAAAATCCACAAAGCTCTCTTGTTCACACAATAGACTAATAGGTTTTGAATTAAGCTAAACAAGTAAAGATTGCAAATTAAAGAAAAAGAAGTAATTAAAATCGAGATGTAAATCAGATGGATCGTAAACTGTGAGGACGTTAAGAGAACTTTCTATATGATGAGAAAGTAACTCGTGTTCGAATTTGTCCTTCAGAGAGATTCTTCATCATTCACAACCCTCAAGGACCATAGTAGAACAACTGTATAATCAATATCAATCACCGATTCTCTCTTTAGGAACGACGAAAGAATCAACAACACATTCCACTTCAATAAACGCTTGCTAGTCCAAGAGTTACACAAAATTCGCTTGGTTTATATAAAATTGATCTGTTTTCTAAACATTTGTCTTGTTTTTGCATGCATAGTAAAGAGATATTATTAGATATAAATAGATCTAAAAGACAATTATTTTAATATGATATTTCAGATTTGCTAAGCTTTAGAAACACGAAGAAATCCAATCCCTTAAAAATGAGAACATGTGGTTTATCAAAGTGATACGACAGAAATTAAAATACATTGTGATTTTCTAGATCAAACGAAGAGTACCGATGCGACCACAACTACAACAGCTTCCATTACGAGGAGTATAGTTGTAACCACAACTAGAACAGCCTAAAGTACAAGTAAGAGAAGCCTTCACTATCTCCACGGCAAGATTTGGGTTACTGGCGATGAACAACTTGAACTCATCAGAGCTATCAATCGTTTTTAAATTCTTTTTGATAAAACTAAAGGCTGCATCGTGAAGGACTTTGTCAAAAGGGATTTGCGCGAGCTCAAGGATGTCAAGAGAATTCGAGAAACTCAGAGAAGATATAAGCTCGGCTCTGCATAGGTCTCGTAGATGCATAATCTCGTATTTATCAGCCGCAAGATAGAGTGACCGAGCATGTTGTTTCACGTTGGCAGAAAGCTTTGAGCCATCACTGTAAATAAACTCAACAAAAGCTTCTAACTCTTCTTGTTTCATCTCCGAGAGAGTGATTGTTTCCACATGTTTAGTCGAAGTCTTGAACTCGTCTAATTCCAACATCTTCTTAAACACCTCCGATCTTGATGCCTATTCAAATTCCAAACATACATGTTGAGAAAACTTCATTAATCACACACACACACAAAAAAACGCATATAGATTCTTGAATCAGATGATGATATCAATAAAGAGAAAAGATGAAAGAAGAGACCAGAATAAGTTTGTGGGCAGAGATAGCTGAGAAGTGCTCTTGCCATTTTTCTGCCAAAACCTTTGCAAGTCCACCGGAGAAGTGCTCTTTGTTGGTTGGAGTTGCCATATCTATAATATTATATAGTGTCGTTGAAAGATGATGGTGGTTTATATAGAGAAGACAACGAAAACGGTCAAAATGACTTTTGAAGACTTTGGAAATGGAGAAGACGGAAATTTAGTACAATGAAATTTCCAAGTCCAAACTCTTAATTTGCCTCCTCCTCCTCTCTTGAAAATTGTGTAACGGAATCAAACTGGTGAAAAAGAAGAATTAATAATTTGTTTGGAATGATTGAGTTATTGACTTTATATTGATAAATACATTATACATAAACATATGAACAAAATGATATACTAAAACTATATTTCACTTTGAATAAGACAGTAATATGAAGATGTTTAAAAAACTTTAACAAAAAACAAAAGTTTTAAATACTACCATATATTTATCCAAAATATTAACAAAAATAATAAAGATGTTTTTTCCAATATTTTTATATTGGTTTCAACACCCAGACGAGACATTCTATATTTTATACACAAAACTAATGCAATGGACAATAGAACCTAAATTTATAAGGTATGTAAGGGTCGATAATAATATAGTAAAACCTCTATAAATTAATACTCGATAAATTAATAATCTCTATAAATTAATAAATTTTTCTGGTTCCGAGTTAGAACCACTGTAAAAAATGACACAAATCGATAAATTAGTAAGATAATAATTTTTTCAAAAATCTTCTATTAACATATGGTCCCATCAATTTCATAAATTAATAATTGTATAAACTTATCAATATATATATTTAACTTAATATTTATATATGATATAAATTTATATATGTCATATATGAACTACTATGATACATATATATTTAAAAGATTATATGTAAAACAATTAATGAAATATATGACTACTATTCGAAAAAAGTTTGTGTTGTTTTTTAAACTTAAAAATTGCTTCTCTACTTGTAATTGGTATCAAAAAGACATTGCTTATAATGAAAAAAAACTTTTTTTAGATACAAAATTTTTTAAGAAATTACAAAATTAGTAAAATCTCTCTATAAATTAAGAATTAATTTATCGATAAATTAATACCTTTGTAAATTAATAAAATTATTAGGTAGTAATATTATTAATTTATAGAGGTTTTACTGTATATGGATTAATTTAGTTTACTTTTGCATGGCCATAACTAGTGATAACGTGGATGTATGCTCTTATAATCACCATCTACTTTTTTTTTTTTTTTTTTTTTGGTAAAATAACCATCTACTATTATCTTCTATACGCTTAAAACTTAAAATACATGTCGATGGATATTCACACTATATATACAATCAGACTAAATTTAAGCACCTTATGACAGTACCGTAATAAGAAAGAATCTATGAATGGTTCTTTCTTAGAGTTAAAAGAATTACTAAAATAAGTAATATCCCCTATATGAATAAACATTAATAAGAAAACAGTTAGATAAAATAAAAAAAGAATAATTTTATTCTACATATTCCATTACAAATAAAACAAAAGACTAATATTTTGCTTTAAAATTTGTTCAATATTTCAAATTTGTAGTGGCATAAATGAAGCTATTTATACCAGTCATTCATCACAAATAGTAAAAAGTTGTAGATATATTTTTATTGTTCTATTTATACAACTTTTTGCATCCTAAAAATTTCTTTATGAATAGAAACTAAAATATAATAAAACAACCACTCCGCAACAAAGTAAAAAAGTAGAAACTAATTTGATCAATCTAGTTGCTTTAAATGTGCTTTAGAGTGTTACCGTTCTCTTTCCCTAATTTTAAAGCGTGGGTGTTTCCTTTAATGACATTTGATTGCCATAATTCTACCACTTTTGCCTTCTTTTGTTAAACACACTTTTCCCTTTATTTGAACGTGTATTTCTTTTCTTTTCTTTTCATTTTTTATACAAAAGATGATAAAAAGACGAAATAATTTGGTTACGAAATTAATTAAAAAAAAAAAAAAAAAACTGAACATTCAATCGTTGTAAGTTGTAACGTAATAAGAAAGAAAGATAGGTCTTTCATAATTTACTTAAGAGTCACGCCCAACATTTAAGTGATACTTTAACGTTAAAGTCTTTTGGTTATATAAAACTCCTTTTTTTTTTGTCAACGGTTGAAACTCAATTTGAGAAAATATTATGCGACTACTTTTATGAAGGCTGTTAGTAAAAAATCGGGAGAAAAATGAAAAGGAAAAAAAAAACAAAAAAGAATGATTTGTAGCTGAAGAAAAAGGCTATATCTCTCCATGAAAATGAATGATGTTATGGACTTATGGTTATATATAGGCATATATTCTACAAGATCCACCCAGACAATGGATTCCAAAAAACTACCATCAGTATATATACAGTAAAAAGTGAAATGAAAAATGGAGGATATTTCGACAACGTTGTTACATGTTACAAAAGTGTCAGCAGTGAAAAAAAAAAAGCGAAGGGGATCATCAATCACCATATGAGCTGGCTAACGTTTGGATATTAAGTGGTTTCATGTATTTTGGTTTTGGTATAAAGCTTTTTGTTGGAAAATAATGGGTTGTCTTTTGTTTGTCCAGGAAAGTCCCCATATATTGATGATCCAAGCTCTTTGCCAACCCTTGATAATCCCTTGATATGCATCATTTGAATATCCCTTTAACCTTAAAATTATGATATTTGCTCCGTTGACATCCCAAAAAAAAAACCATTGAAAATCGGTTATCTAACTTCATCGCGAACCCATGAAAATCCCTTCAAATGTATCACATAAAGATTCATTGAGCATTTACCTTTCATCACTCACTAATAAATGATGTCTTTTTTTCCAAATAAATCCATCTGTAAAAGGTTTTGCTACATGAGTAACTTCTCCTATGACCTTACAATCATCGGTGTTTATCAAAGTATTTGTATCTAGTCTTCACCTATGAAGAAAGATTATTTGACCTCAAGTTGTGCCTATCCATTGACATCTCCCATATATTGATGATCCAAGTTCCTCACTAACCTATCAAAATGCATCACTTGAAGATCTCTTGAACTCTTACCTTCAAGTATCTTTTCATATATAAAATTCACTTTTAAGTCATCCCATCCCATCCATAAGGAGATTCCACGTGGATTTGGTGGCTACATTGAAAGAGTTTATATTTAACTATATTATTAATTTTATAACAATTAGGTTTATCTCTATTATTTGTTGGTGTCGGATCTCGGTATCCAACAGACCACGAGAGAAGATGGACCATGTACAATGGTTCAGATGTGTTAGGCTGTTTTGAAATGAGTTAAGACGAAGAAACATGCTATAATTGACATAAGCCAATGAAGGCCCACATCATATTCGAACTACAACCTTCCAGAGTGAAGAGAAGACGGTGATTGCAGATCGTATTAAAGAACATATCCATGACGGAAGTAACGTCTGATGGCGCAATCTGCGGCGTGTAGTGAATTGACATTTAATGCCAAAATATGAAGAGGTCATCATACTTTGTATTTCCGTATTTCCGAAGCAAGGTGATCCGGTTGCGAATATTCTTGTCGATGGTTTTCTCAAAGGTCGATGCTGCGATAGGGTCTTCTCCATGCCGTCGATTGTTTCTCTCCCTCCATAAGGTGTGAACTGCTATTTGAAGGGCATATCTGAGGAGCAAAAGCACTTTCCTGTCAAGAGTTTTACTAGTGACGAGCAAGGTGAGACAATCCCACTCCCATGTGTATTTGTCTTGAAGTATCCCTTTTGCTTGTTTTTTCCATACTTGTCGTGAGTAACGGCACTGGACAAAGAGGTAGTTTCTTGTCGATTCCGATATCCACATTACTTTGTTAAGATTTTCTTATAAATAAGTTACTTATGTTTAAAATTTTAGGAACTTCAGAATTTTCTTAAATATTACTATCTCCTAATATTTTTAAGAGTTTTATGAATAGTTTACTTCCGCTAGTTTGTCTCCACCTTCGAAGACAGATTGTCTCATCCGATCACCAAAGGCGACATCCAATTTCACGCAAAGCCGACTTACCAAACCAAAAACATACGACGGCATTCCCAAAAGCTTTGACATTGATGATCCCTCAAATATAGTAAACCAGCTCACATTTTACGTTAAATTTTTTTTTCCGCTAGAAATCGACCATTATTCTGAAGAAGCACTCATAGCTCATCTAAATTTGTATTCATTTAGGGTCCGACCACCTAAAACTTTAATCACCATACGGAAAAATATAGTATTTGATAAATAGATAAACAGCTTTTTATAAAATTTGAAAGCTAAGAAGTTTCAATAAATCAAATTCTAATCAACTATAGTAATCACCAGTGGAATACTACGTCTAATTATCTTACAGTTTCAAATTTGATAAAAACAAGTCTAAATAAACATTACTTTCATCTATAAAACAGAATTAAGAACATATGATTGTAACCTACCAACATTTTTTAATTATCATTATTTAGTTACTATAAATTGACTCAATGATTATTCAACAAACTTAATTTCAATAATTAATCCACTCAATGATTATTCTCTTATCCAAAATCTCAAATTAATTTTCATTTTCAATAATTTTACATATAATTATCCCTTATTTTTCAAATCGGAAAAAAAGTTAAGTAGCTCTGTCACAAGTCAAACTTTCTGTAGAAGAAGAAGCTAAGATACTATTCAACATTCCCCTCCCTCTGCTTTAACTCCTTTCCCATCCCCAGCTAATCTAACCAAATCGATCACTTAAACTTTGAGCCAAAAAAAAATAATACAGAATTTGCAAAACCAAGTCTCAATTTTTTTAGTTTAATTAATACAATATGGCTAAGCTTTTCCCAAAAGCTACATTGGTCTAGTATCTTTTAGAAATTCATCTTCTTTTTTTCCTACGCATAAATAAATACATACATAATACTCTCACAAGCATAGTCTTTTGATATATATAATAGGATTAGATAAAGAAGAGAAAAAGAAAAACAAAGTGTAGTTCTGACTCAAGTCTCTCACGCTTGTTTCTTCAAAGCACCCGTGTTGGCAAAAAACACCTTGAAATGCACCCAAATCCACCTCCTCCTCTTTTCTGCAAATTTCAATTATTAACATTTTCCATAATCAAAACCTTTAAACAATAATCAACCAATTTAATTAAGATTAAACTAATTAATAACAAATTGAATAAATCACAAGTTTTATTACCCTTTTGGATTTGACTGAGAGAAGTTGTGGGGAGACTTTGTACAAGTCTTCATCCACAGGCTTCGGTGCCTTCATGCTCCGCTTCACCACCGGTGTTGGACAGCTTACCGGGGCGTTAAACTCACGCGCCTCCGTCTTATAGCTGTGGTTCTCCTTGGAGACATTTCTCTTCTTCTCCACCGGTTCTTGACCCACTTTAGCCTAGAAAAAAACATTTTCCAAGAACATAAGACTAAATCAAGAAACTCACGGCGTCGTGTTGAATCAAGAAACATGAATCAAGAACGTACCCGGCGACGAGGGACGATGATGACGGCGGGAGCTACAAGGTGGTGATTATCGTAGAGATCTCCGGCGAGGTAAAGATCACGATCTTGAGGGTAAGGAGCGTAGTGAAGAAAAGCTGGTTGTTGAGTAGTTGCTGTCTCGAAACACTGAGTGAAAGGAACGGCGTCGTTCCAATCCCAGCTTCCAAAAGCTGGTACGTGTCCTCTCCGACAGTACTCTCCTCCTCCGTATTCCTGATTGAAAAAAACAAAAACAGTAAACAAAAGAAGCTTCAAAAAAAGTTATAGAAGAAAAAGAAAGAGGAAAGAGCTTACGTAGTCCATTGTAGTAGTGATGAATGTGTTTGATTGATGATGTATGGATCTCTCTGCTTTAAGTTATCTAAATAGAGAATGAGAGAGAGAAAGAGATTGTGTTTATTAAATGACCAGATGGGTATTTTACATTACTCAACACTGAGACAAAAGTTGTCTTAAAGTCTACTTGTAGGAGATAGAGAGATAGAGAGTAATGAGGGACTGTGTTTGTCTCTGAGCATAGAGTGGTGTTTTCAAAATTATAGTGTAGGGTAAGTGAAAATAATATAAAGTTGAGCTTAGCTACTCTTCTTCTACTACTTTTTTTTTTTACTTTTTAACAAAATTCTACTGTTTTTTTTTGTCTTTTGTTTTTTGTTTTTTTATTTCTTTTTATACAATGTTCTGTAGTCTGTCTTTACTTTTAATCTTTTCATAAATTTTATATTTTTTTACGTTTTTGTTGGCTTTAGACTTTGTTTTTACATGGGGTAACTTTTCTTTTCTATTAAAAAACATTTTTCATGGTTGACTAACAAAAAAAAGACTTAATGTAACGTAACTTTCACTAAAACTATTAGAGAAATTGACCAAGTTTTTTATGGCTTCTAAAGCTGACTTATGCATTCCATTTATTACTGTATCTTTTTTTTTTTTTTTTTTTAATTTAATTTATTAATCCCAAATGGACTTATGAAAATTGAGCTAAACGACCAACCACGGTTACAAAATAGAAGAGGCCCAAAACGAAAACCAGCGAAAACAAGATCAGCTCCGTGCAGTACACCGGAAAACACGAACTTCGCCTTCTAGATCCGACGCTAGCAAGGACGGCTCCTTTGTGGCTACAACCTCGACATCAAGTTTTTGGCTTGAGCTAGCGAACCCCGCCGCAAACCATCGCTGAGAAAAAGCCAAACCTGGAACATTCCTTTCGGAAAAGGGAAAACCGCCACAACCGGGCCCCAATACCTCATCTCCCCAACCTAGCAAGAAGAAGGAATCGAAACTCACCCTCACCTCCACCGATGCCCACCCTCAAACCTCCCCTAGAGCAAACCTTACTTCAGATCCGGCGAAGGAAAAACCAGCCACGGCGGCGGAAGAGTCGTTGGCTCAGACGAACCATCTTCCACCAAGATCCGGCCAAGGAACACCCGCAGCTCACCATCTAGGATCCGGACAAAGAACCACCGTTAATCCCTTCGCAAAGTGGTGAACCCACCGATCCATAGTCCGACTTCCGCCGCTCACCGGAGCTACAACTCACAAGCCGCCGAACCTAAAGAATCTATTCCAATCCGCCGGCGTCCTTTAACCAGCAGACACGGAGGAACATCATCTTATAGCTGCCGTGAGGAGAGCCACCGATTTGCATCGAAACCACAGATCCACCACACCACACACCACCGGAGAAGAGAGGCACCCACCACCGCTTCAGCCGCTAACCCAGCCTCCGTCGATGAAGCTCTTTAACAAAGGCAGCCGCGAGAAAACCCTAGATCTAGGAAAGGAAGAGAGAGAAGAGAGAGGAACGATTGTCCGATTTTTATATTGTTGTAATATTATTTACTGTATCTTGTAATACATTTTCTGTGTTGGGGAATTAAATAAGATTTTTTTGTGGAGTAGAAAACATTAATGTATCAGAATATCCACAATTTGAAAAAAGAAGAAAAAAAGTGAAAAATTTTAAGAGACAAAAGAGTTAAGAAAGGAGCTTTAGAAAGAAGGGGCCACATGCAACAATTACCTCTGTTATGAAACTTTGTGCTCTGTGCAGTGTGCAACCAAAAACATTGCCACGACTCCAAGCAATCCCATTTATTATCTTTTGTCAATTTCTCTTACTTTTTCTTTATAATATTCTAACTTTTCAATAATTAATAGTATGTCTAGAATTTTGAATATTTTTTATCAGTAAGTTTTATATTGACAGAGGACAGGTGGGGTTAGGTCAAAATTACTAATACTGTTGATAGCAGGATAATAAATTGGAACTGCTCATGGCAGCCTTTTAAATTGAGAAAACAGTTAGAAAACAAAAACAAATCAACGGAATGGGGTTTTCATTGATGTAATAAATATTTTGGTTAGGGCAGTTAACACTAGCTAGAGAAAATATTGTATGTATTTTCAACGATTATTTACAAAGTATGTATTCCTTTGGAATGTCACTATTTACTGTGTATATTACTATATTTAATGTTGGAAAGTCATCAGAAGTCTGTCTGATTTTTTAAATGGAATTTTTTTAGTCAGTAATTCGTTGAAAATTTCCAAAAAAATTCAAAAAAACCGTTTTCTTGTAGTAGAATGATGTGTTAATACTTATTACTTACAATTATAAATCTATTTCACGGGTAATTTGTGATCTTTTAAAAAATCATAACATATGTGGTAATACATATAAGCTTTTCTTGGTAGAATCAAAAATTTAAACAAAATGGTAATCATCAAAAAAAATTATATAAATCTTTTATACGCCAAATGATATAACAATGAACATTATGGAAAAAAATTGTATCGAGAAATTAAAATCTCTTTATTAATTGTAAGGCAGTTTTGAAAATTATTAATATTGTTTTCTTTAAATTATTAGTGAGTTTTAAAAAAGAAAATTTGTTTTTAATAAATTTTTTAAAAATATAAAGGTTTAAACTATAAAATATGGAAACGCTTTCGGTAGTTTGTATAAATATTTTGCAAAAAAAAAAGCTAAATAGATGCAATGCTTCTGAAAATCCCTAAAATGCTTTTTGGGTAGTTAAGTATTTAAGATATGGTGCTTTCTGAGTTGTCAGGCTGTTGTTTATGTTGCTTGGCCTACTCTACTGTTAACGTTTGACATTTCTATCATTAGTCTTTTCTATGTTTCTATCCTTAATCCACCGGGTTTGTGTTCTTTTGCAGTTAATTATACTTTTTACGAAATATTTTACTTTAATTTTGATTTTTTCCTCATATAATTTTAATATAAACCTCCTCATTATTTTAGTCAATTCTATTAAAAATGAATGAAATTCTAAATATAAAGATCTCTAAGGAAATTATTTAGATTCACATAATTGAACTCCATACAAAATATGACATAGGTTTTACATTGTAACTCTCCAAGTCTCATTTGTGAAACAGGAGAGGATAAATAATGTACATTAATTGATACGGGTATATAGAAAATGAAATATAGTTTTCAATTTTCAGGTTTCGTGAACATGCTCTACTACACATTTAATGAATCTGTTGGACCTTGAAATATTAGGTACGTCATTTGAGTATTTTGTGAAATATTTTTTTTGAACTCCTTGGAACCTCTGGATAAAATTACTCTACAATGAGCAATGCTACATTACCATAGTGTGAGGTCACAAGTTATAGGTCTGGTCAACACACAATACTATTGTGGTTCTCTATGCTACCTAAGACTTATTTATACTCTATCAGACTAACTAATAATCTTAATAACGAACACAATGAAAGATAAGAAAATGTAAATATTTAGAATCATCACATAGTTAAGGTTCACTTATATAACATCATTCTTAATTAACCTAAAAACATGAATAATAATTATATCAAAAACATTAACAAAAAGTATTACAAACAATAAACCATGAAAAAGAAAAGGAAAACAAAGTTGATGAGAAAATCAGTTGTTACATCAAATTCATGAACCATATATCTCAATCTAATTGCATATAAAAGTTGAAGCTCTTGACTATGAAATATGAACTCCTCCTTTTTCTCTTATTTTCTATTGGCTCGGAATCTCGGATACCTCTAAAATTGAGTCTTTTTAACCTTAGTTGGCATAGGAATGATTTGCTTTAGCAGTGATCGCCGGTAAAACAATAATTATATTTGAAAGCTTATGCTCTTGTCTATCAACCCTACCAAGTTTGAGGAAGATTAGATGTGGTGAAATATATAGACTTATCATCTATAACCAAATACATATACTAATTAAAGCAAACCACTAAACCATGAGTGATTGAATAAACAAAATCGTAGAGCAAAGAACCGTCGCAACTGTGCCATGAATATTAAAAAAAAAAATAGAAGAGTAAAAGAAATTGAGAATCAAGATATTTGGATTTTCTCAACACCACCTCGCAGAGAATGAAGGGAAAGGCTAATACTAAGACAATGTAGTGGTCAAAGGTTATTTTCTTTTTTTTTTTTTTTTTTTGAAAAAGATATTCATCTTTCAACTTCATATTACTTTCTTTTTTACTTTACCATTTGTGACTTGTGAGTAAGTCTGAAAACTGCAGTAAACTTTGTATGCTTCTTTTATTTCGAAAAGTCTCGAGTCACAAGATATATATATTCTCGTTCTTCTTACTAAGTGATATTCTCATTCGTTTGGTGGTTAAAGACTTAAGACAAAGTAGATAACTTTTGCTGTCAATAAAGAAAAACGTAGCTAATGTAACTCTTTTGTTTTTGATTTTTGGTGATTAAGAGTTGCCAAAATCAGTTTTGGGTTGGGTTTAGGGTTTGGTAACCCAAGTAAAATCTGGATTTAAGGTCTATAGATTTTGGATTGGGTTTAAGTTGTTTAAGATCATAAATAATTTGACCAAAACAAACTTAAATCTAAAGTTGACAAAAAAAAAAAAAAAAAAAAAAACTTAAATCTAAACTAAATCAATTTTGTGTGGAAAATATTCAGTTATATAGATTTGTTTGGTTATTGAGTTATAAAAATGACAATACCATCTAAAATGAGTTTCAATAGATAAAATAAGTTAAAATATCCAGAAATAAAATAAAACATGCTAAAGGCTTTTTTCCTCTTATTTTTCAACATCAATTTTTAATTTTCCTTAGCATTTATTTGCGAGCAAATCTGAAATGTGCAATAAGCTTCTTTACGCTACTTTTAATTTCAGAAGTCTATAATTGATGGGTAATGAAGGAGAGAGCTAACTTGATGTTCTCACTGTTGATGACAATAAGAAATGTTATTTTGGTTTTGTTTATTGGTGACTTTCCAATTATTTGTGGATATTAGGAAATTATTAAAAATCCACGACCCACGAGGGTTGAAGCACAACTTCTACTTGGGCTCAAGTCAGGCCCAGTATTTGCAAATGTCTTTTTTTTTGGATAAAAGTATTTGCAAATATTGATTAGTTTACCTATTTAAATTTGCACAAAAAAAAAAGTTTATCTATTTAAAATAAGAAGAATATGTAGTGTATCAGTTGGAAAAAAAAAAGTGTATTAGGGGTGATGACATTAATATATAGCTGTTGTACGTTTGGCATCCATTAC